AACTGGAAGAATACGTTTTCCAATGATTCAGATTTCTCAAATATAACATGAACTAATTATTCTGATGCTAATTGAGGCAAACAATGCCTCACACAGTGTAGACAGATAATAAACATTTTAAAACCTAATTAATGATTACTGAAATTGCTCATAAATAAAAGCAGGTGTTGATGAAATTTAGAATTCCTCTTTGGATAACGGGATTAACATGCATTGCAGGGCTAAACAGTTCTTCCAATAATTATATTATAATTAATGGGATTGCTGTACTACCTTTTTTAAGAATAGTAAATTCCAAAAAACCTTCACTTCATTAAATTTGCTGTCTTAATTATATTCAACTTTAGACAGATGATACACTGTCAGTCTGGAAAGAACTGGTAAGAAAAAGTATCCTTTCCAGTCACAAGAAAAATTAAACAACTCCATAAAATCTATCATTTTCTCCAAGAAAACACTTTCTTTTCCTTCAGTGAATAAATATATTTTGAGCACCAGCCATGTGCCAGGAATTATGCTAGATGCTGTTTGGGATATAGACTAGTGATTAAGGTTCAGAAAGACTGAGCTTGAATCTAAGCTCTGCTAGGTGTTAGCTAGTGACATAGACCAAGTTATTGAATTTCTCTTACATTCATGATCCTCATCTGCAAGATAGGGAGGACTAAATTGAAGGGTTGTCAAGATCAGGGGGTAATATATGCAATGTACCTGGCTGTAATTATTACTGTATCATTGGATTCTCACAGCTGTGGGACTAGGTGGTACCATATCCTGTTTGCAAATGCATAACCAAAGGCGCTGAGAGATTGTGACCTGGACAGTTTATCCTTTGAGATGTTCTTCCCTGCACACGGTTCATTTCCATTGTATATTGTTCTAATGTCTCTTCTGGTACTTCTTATGTGCCTTCTGGAAGTGAAGAAATTTTATTTCTACAGAGTCAAAAAGCTACCAGCTCTGATGTTTTGGCAGCATGAAGAATCTGGAAATATTGAAGAGAAACTCAGGGGACATGCAATGCAGCCACCTATAGTTTAACACAGTATGAGCAAGCATTTTGTATCATTATCTGCTTTGGGATGGCAGATCCTTTGAATCGCGTGAACTGCCTTTAATACTTGTTTGCTGTCTACACTGCACTCCCTGATATGAGAAAAGGAAATATGTGACAATATCATTAAGTGTAGATTTAAAAACTGCATGGGGTAACTCACTGATTAGAATGACATTCTCATTGGTGTTCCTCTTAAGAATCTACCCATGGATTGGTGCTGAACCAAATATATACACACTTTACTAGAATATACTAAACAAAGCAAGTATTTAACAGTTGGCATTCGTGAAACAAAGGATTCCACAATACTGAGGGGCCTGACTCCTGTATTTTTTGGTCAGTTAATATTCCTTTGGAGCAGTCCTCTTAATGTCTTAACAGAGTCTCTCCAATTAGTTCTCCTTATTTCTATTTTTAGACTCTGTGGCTACTGAAATAAGGGACTATTTCCATCAAAAAAGCAAATTCTGGACAAAAGTTCTTGAAGAAACCTGCCAACAACGGCTCCTGTCTTTCCTGGGATATTCCTTCACATTTGAGAAGTGTACAGGCAGACCCAGAAATGTAGCTTTGATTGGTCTACTGCCATTAGACAGTGTCTAAGCAGCAAAATCAGGTATGTAACCCAAGGCCAGCACTGCTGTCCAGCAAGCCTTCCCAACAGTGAAGCTTTGATCAATGTTGGAGTCAGACAGGCTGCTTCCGTTCTTAGTGAGCCTCTCTGCTGTTAATTTATTCTTATCTTTCAAGTTATGAGTTTAAAAAAATAGACTAAAATTTAGCATATGGTTACACACTCATTTTCCATTTAGACATTGACTGAGCACCTTCCATATACCTGGTACTTAATTTGTGCCCGGGATAAGAAACAGTCCTCACACTCTTGAAGATTATGATAGAAATGGGTTGCCTAGATTTGCTGAGAGGATGTCTATCAGTCAAGATTTTTGGTTGCAAATTTTGCCAAAATGAATTTATTATCAGGATCATAGGGAGCCACAGAATCAAAGGGAGGCTGGAGAAAGAGACCAGGTAACTGATAGTCCAGGGAAGATCATGTAGCAGAAGCCACTACCTTCAATTCCCACATGAGAGCTTCAACTGATTATAAATAAAAACCCAGGAAGTGTTCATTTAAGAGAACTGAAGTCAGAGGCTTATCCCATGGCACCAGAAGGTAGAGATGCTTACATTCAGAGCATAAAGAATACACTCTTAAGAAGGATTCATTTCTCCTTTTGTAGAAATGATTCGAATCAACATAAGGCTGATTGCTACACTCAGTATAAAGACATGCAAGGTAAACTTGTGGTCACCTGTTCAATACTGTAATATATTCATAAATGAATAGAGACTTTGGAAAATTCTTCCAGAGCCCTTGAAATTGAGTTTTTAAGATTCTTTTTTAATGTTGATTTTTCCCCCTTGTCTTTTCAACACTTAATCCAGCAAGCTGCCATGTTAACTTTTAAAGGTAGTCCTCACTGAATATTAGAATGCATACTATACCTGTGAGTGACTGAAGTCTGATGTCTTTTTCCAGATCTCCATTTAAGATGTAGCTAAAGGACAGGGGAGAAAATAACTTTCCTTATATCTTATAAAATTGTGGGCAATTATTCATTTTTTAAATTATAGAAGAAAAGAACCTAAAACGTATTTCACTTTCCCACTCTTCACTACAGAAAATGTCTGGGAAATGAGAAGCTCTTAATGACAGAACTTTCTAGCTGACTTAAAGGCTAAAACTGACTTTTTTTTTTTTTTATGGTTTCAGCCACTGCTGAAGTTATTTATCAAATACATATGGAGTATCTATTATGTCCTAAGTATTGTTCTGAGGGTACAGTAGTGGTTGGGATAGGAAAAAGTCCCTTTCTTCTTAGAGTTTATCTTCTAAAAGATGAAATTCTGAAGCTTTTCAGAAGCATACATATATATGTGTGTGTATATATATATAAAACTTCTGATTGACTATACCGAAACAAGATTGTCTTCAAAAAACTGCAGTCACCTTCATATGGATGTTTAAACCATACATGTCCCTATCTTTGTAGACTACCTACACTACACTCAATTTAGCCACAGCTATCCCCAAACCCTAGTACCCTTCTTTCTCCCAAGTCAAACACTAGTTTTAACACTATTCCACTGTGGTGATGGACTTGAAATAAGTATTTTACATGTACTAACTGATTGAATCATCACAAAAATTCCAAAATCAGTCTTCTTATATTCATTTTTCAAAAATTCCAAAATCAGTCCTTATATTCATTTTTCAGATGAAGAAACCAAGTCATAGTTGAGTGTCTCTCAGGTAACTTGCACAGTCATCTCTCTTAGCACTCACCTGGGACTGTGGAGACTGGATAAATCGGGCTCTGAATAAATTCTTTCTATATATATGCAGGGCAACTATGGAAACAGCTGTAATAAACACGAATCCCTACCCCATCCATCTTCTAGCTGTGTGCTAAAGAGGCAAGTTGCCTAGATCTCAAATGTTTCCATCTATAAAATGAGAATAATAAATCTACTTCATGGGATATTGTGAAATAGGACAGTCCTCAAACCCCTATCTACAGGATAAACATCTGCCTACAGTTCCTATTTTTAAGAATTTTTTTTAACGTGGTAAGTTTTTTCTGCATTCCTACAAGGCATTGTGATGTGTATGTGTTAAGGATAGGCATTGTGATGGGTATGTGTTAAGGATATTCCTTTCAATGATTTCCAATCCTGTATTGTTCCTATAGAACTAGAGAATGTTATATAGCAGCTCTGTGTAGTGATTGGAAAATGTTATGCTTTTGTCTTGTGCTAACTGCTCAGCATAGGTCTTGACCAAACAAGCCCAAACAATAGCAGACTAAGAGCACTGCATCATGGCAACCTTTCAGGCACCATTTTAAAGGTAAACTAATCTCAGTGATCCAAACAAACTCAGAGAGTTGATGGGCGGGGAGTAAAACAGTAGCAATTATATAGTTTAAAATGATACCTGGGTTCTCAAAATACTATGAAATCATGACAGTGAAGAGAACTGCCTGGATACTAACCCCAAGAGGTGATTGATGTCAGCTCTTCTATTCAACCCAATTACCCCTAATTGAGGGTCTCAAGGCAAGAGCAGCTTGCTCCTTCCTAATCAGCAAGGTAGAAAACTTATATCCTAATAGTATGCAAATTTAAACATGTTTATATTTAAAAAGACATGAATATAGTATGCATTCAAAACTTCAAGAAATTTTACAAATGTCTTTCGTCACATATTATTTCCCCTAATCTTCACATCAATAATGTTGCTTAAAAATGAGTTGTACTTCACAAATAAGAACACAGGAAAAACCACACTGGAATTGAGGTCTCCTAACCATTGTTCCAGTGATTGGTCTACTTTTTTACTATCTAATACTAAAATAAAAAATACAAACTCAGCCAGGTGCAGTGGCTCACACACCTGTAATCCTAGCACTCTGGATAGACAAGGCAGGAGGATCACTTGAGGTCAGGAGTTCAAGACCAGCTTGAACAAGAGTGAAACCCTGTCACTACCAAAAATAGAAAAAGTAGCCATGAACAGTGGTGAGTGCCTAGTCCCAGCTACTCAGAGGCTGAGGCAGGAGGATCACTTGAGCCCAGGAGTTTGAGGTTGCAGTGAGCTATGATGATGCCACTGTACTCTAACTCAGGGCAACAGAGCGAGACTCTTGTCTCAAAAAAAAAAAAAAATAGAACCCCCAATTTGTAATGTATTCTAAATTCTGCCCTAGCAGAATTATAATTGACATTATTATCAGTATACAAACTGATAGTTAATATTCTTACACTTAAAGTTATAAACAATGTAGAAATAGAGAAGCACAAAGTATATATTTTTCTATAATAAAATATATCTCCTACTTAAGTAGTATGTGTAGAGGAAGTTATTTTCTTCCAAATAATCGATACTTCATATCTTTATTTAGTGCCTTTAAATAATAAATATATCAGCATTATTTAATTTTTTTATTTCAGAATATTATGGGGTGCCCATCAATACATGAGTGGATTAATAAAATGCAGCATTACTTTTGAAATGGTTTCATTTTATGTACAACTAATGGACAGATGTTCTACCCACAAACTCTATTTTCCAAAAATAATCAGGAGCTTTTATACAGAAAATCACACACAAAAAATTTTCAAAGGCACTGGGATTCCTCTGCTTCTAGATCACTGCTGGGCTAGAAAAATACAGCCTGTTGTACCAGGAATCACAAGTTAGAACTGAGTATACTCCAAAGTGGAAATTACATAGTGCCATTTAGGCAAAGATTATTCAGCTTTCATCCTCAACATCCATAGTGAAACCAAGCCAGAACAGTTCAGTATAATTAGGCTTCACAAGAAGAGGCCATTATGCTCTTCTTGTAAGATGCTAATAACCCAAAACAGGAAATACTAATCAAAATAAAAGAGTACTTGAAGCTGATAGTCACAAATTGTTAGTTCCTTGTTGTATCTCCCCTTCTATAACATTAATAAAGAGAATTTTACTGCAAAGAAAATTTTATTTTACATATCACTAGCCAGAATTTTTCTCCTTAGTTATTACACAGATGTTCTCTAGTGCCATTATCCAAATGGCATGACCATTTTGTCCATAATTCATTTCTGTATTTACAAACAGAATTTTCATAATTTACATAAGCACATCTATCAGTGAAGGCTTAACATTGAGATGCAATCTAACATCCATACTATCTGATGTTTTGCAGACAGCAATGTAGGAAATACATTTTTAATCACCTTTCATTTGAGTGACCTTATGTAAAAAATAAATCAATAACTTAGAAGTTCTAGTCTCCAAAGGACACTTTCAAATGTACATATAAAAATGATTACAGTGAGATTTTTAAGAAACATCTTCCATGTCCACATCCTCTTGTAATTGCTGTACCATTTTCTCTTCCAGCTGCTTTCCTTTACCTTTAACAAAAATAAATTTAAAAATTAAAAACTTAATCCAGTGTGTCCTTACAGAATTCATATCAACATTTTATAAAGGATTTTGTATGTTTTATAATATTATTAGCCATTTCTAAGAAATTTAAAGATAATAATAGCTAAATTTATAAAGGCCTTATCATATTCATGCATAAAGTAAGCACTGTATACACACGTATCATTTCACCCTCATAACAACCCCCATTTTAAAGATGACACAACTGAAGCACAAGTACAGATTAACCTGCCCAAGGTCACTCAGCCAGTAAGTCAAGTCAGGCAAAGAGCTGGTATTTAAACATTGGTCATCTAGATTCTAAGGTCCCTGTTCTGGTCACTGTCTACTGTATTATCTACCTCAAACAGGACTACCTAAAAAATTAGATAACAATGATTCACTCATGTTGCTTTCTGAGTATCAGTTAGTATCATCAACATGTTAAACAAATGCTCCAGGATTTTGTCTGTTTTAATAAAATTTTCTACAATAACTCAGGTAGGACCTTTACACAAATCTATTTGACATGTGATTATAGAATTTGACTTTTACTAAGGTTTAGGCAAAACTTCTCTCCCTTTAGCCTGCATAAGTAAATTTCATAATGGATGGTGCCAGCTGAGTAAAAGATCAGTTTTCTAGCACCTCACAAACTACACAAATCAACAACTGCCCAAATGGGTGACTACCAGTAAGTAACATAATCACAAAGAGAAGGCTTTCATATAAAACAGTAGTCCTCAAACCTGAGTATCAGAATCATTTGGAATGCTACTAAACAGAGGCCCAGACTCAAAAGGGCCTGAACCTTTGTATTTATACTAAGTTCCCCAGGTAATTCCAATACCAACCAAAGTTTGAGAACCACTAATAAAAACACTGTCCTTTAATCAGAACATTTATGATGCAAAATCATCCATGAAATTATTACTCAAATCATTTTGCCTAACTTGGGGAAGAATTTAATGAAGAGGAAAAAGAAATACCATATGCAATAGAGATTGACAGCAACTGGGAAATATACTGAATAAATTATATTTTTATAAACCAAGTCATATCATAAATGTACTTTGAAAGACAACATTTAAATGAAAAAATACCCAAAGTTAATTGGTACCCAATTATACAGACCACAAAAATCTAGATTTTTTCATTTCTCTAACTTAAAACAGAAAAGTCCTGTAAATGCAGTACTTACCTGCAAGAGGCGCTCGGATAAGATGGATGCTTTGTTTGACTTCTTTGATGTCCTGAACTTTCTGTAGTTCTTTATTTTTCTTCAATCTAGGATAAAACATACCAAAACCAAAATTTCAGTTAATAAAACTACAAGAGATATTAATTCACAATACAGCTATTAAATTTCCCTAATTAAGTTGACCACACAAATGGGAAATGGAAACTACACGACTGCCCTTCTGTTCACTCCCTTTTCTTCTCCCCTTCCTCCCCAACCCTCATTCCCAAATGGCAAGCGGCGAACTTAACCTAACAGATATCTACTTTATATTTATTCCCAAATTTAAGGTAAAGTGACCTGTTAAGCCCTTATAGATCTACATTTTCTTCCCTATTGATTCAAATTCAAAAGGATTTTTAGTTCCTAAATAGCTTAAACAGGACTTCTATACTACCACAACTTATTCATTCATTATATCCCTGTACCTAGTCTGGCACAAAATAGGGCTCAATGAACATATTTACTGAGTGAATGCAGGATGTGACTGAAGAAAAGAATTAACAAATCTCAGAGATTAACATTTATTATACACATGTAGTACTCTACTACATGAAACAATCTCTAATTGTCAAAGTGCCCAGATCTTTTCTCCTCAAATAGATAACAGTCTCTGTTATGTAATTAAAAAAAAAAAAAAAATTCAGTAATTACAAAAGCACAAAACACATATGATGGTCTAAAATGCTAACAGACTAGTTCCCAAACATTTAGGCTCCTTTTCTGTAATGCTTTAACATTTTTTAAGCTAGTAAACTGCTGGTACATGCTTCTTTTCTATGACACATTCCACAGTGATTAAAGACCAATGCTCTTGCTCTGAACAAAATAGCTGGCTCCAGGCTGGGGCAGGGGAAGTACAAGATGAGTCTTGAGACATCTTATTAGCCATAAAACAAGAGAGCCCTCAAAGAAAATGAGAAATTGTCAAAATGACACGAGAGCCTGCCTGAAGGAACTGGCAGGGTCAAACTTGGCCCGCTGAGAACATCAAAATAAATAATGACAATAAAAGATTATAACCCACTGAATACCATAAAAATCCATGAATACACATAGACGTGATATGAATAAAGGAGTGTGTTTTTAAAGTGAGGGGAAAGGGAAAGCTCTTTCTTACATGAGAAAGCCAAATAAGAAGTGTAAAAGAAATGATGGAATTAGAAAAACCACCATTTGGTAACAGGAACAATAGTAACTGATTCAGACAAGGCTCTCTAATGGATGCTATTAATGAAACCAAGAGGTACAAGTTGGAAGAGGAACAGGCTTTTGCTCTCAATGAACCTCTCCAAAAATAAGTATTTGTTACAAGGGGAAAAAATTCTCTACTTTCCAGTGGAGAAACTTGACAGACACCTCCTTAAACAAGTGATCAAATGTAACATCACCAGCAAGGTGACACGTGTGCCTCTGACATGATGCACAAGGAGGACACACCATCACTTCTTAAGATTCCTGCCAAAGGTGCCTAGCCAGAAACTAATCATGAGGGAAACATCAGAGGAACCCAAATTGAGAAACATTGTATAAATTAACCCTGCCAGTACTATTCAAAAATGTCACTGTCACGTAAGGTACATGAGAAACTGTTCAGACTAAAGAAGCCTGAAGAGATACGACCACCAAATGTAAAGCATGATCCAGGATTTTCTGTTGCTATAAAGGACATTATTAACAATTAACGAAATCTAAACAAGGACTATAAATTATGTAATGTATTACCTCAATGTTAATTTCCTGGCTTTGGTAACCACACTGTGTTTATTTCACAGAATTGTTCTTATTTTGGGGTTATATACACTGAAATATACTTAGAAGGAAAGGGCAATATGTCTTCAACTTACTATACATAGCTGACAAAGATAAAGTAAATGTGGTAAAATGCTAACAATATACAAGAGTTCTTCATATTATCCTTGCAAATTTTTTGTAAGAGTGAAGCTATGTCAAAATAAAAAGTTAAGGAAAAAATATGAATGTCTCTAGATACCTACTATTAATTATCTTTCTAACAGTTACTCTATACAAATATTCATACCTGTTCATTATAAATTTGGCTTGGCGTTTCTGTTTGATCTCTTCAACTCTCTTCATTGCATCAACTACAAAAAAATTCATAAAAGTTAGCAAATTTATGCACATTCAAGCAGCCAGCATGATTATAACCAACGAGTGCTTTAACAAACACTTCTATTTAAATGAAAACATTCATTGCAAAAACAAGCCCTACTGAAAAAGCTGAAGAAAATATATAATCTTGACTAACAGCACTGTCAACTTTCTCTTTCGTAACTATCGCTTCTGGAATTTTTATTCAATAGCAGCCTTTCCTGCTAGTAAGTTTTCCTTCCACTTTAAACTAGTTCATGGCTTTTCAAATTTTATTTTAAAGAGAACTTGGATTATTGGCAACTAATCCCATTCTCAGCTTGTTATCTCCTTGAATAAACACAGCACCTTTCAGGTCATAAACATGTTTTCTTCAAGTGCCTGGGATATGGTCAGCACATGATGAATACTGGTAGAATGAACCAATCGATCAATACTGCCATGTTCTCAATCACTAAAATCCAACAGTTTTGGAAGATGTCTACAGGAGCCCTGGCTATAAGGGAGCTTAATCCAACTATGTTCTAGAATCTGTATCAGCGCTGTCCAAAATAAGAAAAACCACATAAGTAATTTTAAATTTTTTAGTATATACAAAATAAAGAAAGAGGAATAGGAAGAAATTTAATGATATATTTTATTTAACCCATAAGTCTAAAATACTGTCATTTAACATGTAATCAATACAAAAAATTATTAATGAGAGATTTTATTTCTGTTTTCATACTAACTCTTCAAAATCCAGCATGTATTTTCTATTTATAGCACATCTCAATTCAGACTAGCCACATTACAAGTGCTTAGTACCACTATGGCGAGTGGCTACCATACTAGATACAACTTCTGCTCTAGCTCCTTAAAGTGTAGTCTGTGGATCTAAAGAAGAACAGGACAGCCATATAGTCTTAAAGTATCTCCCCACAATATGCTTATTAATTACAAAGAATAAAATAGTAACTTTCCAGTGGAAAAACTGGGCAGACACCACCTTAACCAAATGATCAAAGTTAATACTGCCAGTAATGGGCCTAATGGACAACATGTGTCTCTTGACAAGACACACTAAGATCTCAACATCACGTCTCTGGTGTTCTTGCCTAAAGTGCATTACCCAAACCTAATCTTGAGGAATCAATGGACAAACCCAGATAAGGGTACCTGGTTCATATTCTTCAAAACTGTGAATGTCATGAAATATCAAGGCAAAGTCATGAAATGTCAAAGATTAAGAGACTAAAGAGACCTATTCCTACAACTTTTGCAATAAAGTATATTATTGGAATGACTGGAGACATAGGAATCGGTTTGCAATTAGATAATAATATTTTATCAATGTTAATTTCTTGATTTTAATAATTGCATTGTAGTTATATGGCAGAATGTTCTTTTTGGAAATACACATTAAACTATTTAGGGATAAAGAAGCATTATGTATATTTAAACAGTTTAGAAAAAAATTATATACTGAAGGAAGGAAGGAAGGAAGGGCAGGAGAGGGAAAGGAGAGAGAGGGAAAAAGAAAGTTAATTTAATAAAATATTAACATTCAGAGAATCTGGATGAAGGGTATCAGAGAATTTTACCCCTGCAACTTTTCTGTAAAGTCTGAAATTAAGCCAAAATAAAAACTTTTTAAAAAATGTAGTCTGGGGCAGGGGGTGGTGGCTCACGCCTGTAATCCTAGCACTCTGGGAGGCCGAAGCGGGCAGATTGCTCCAGGTCAGGAGTTCGAAACCAGCCTGAGCAAGAGCGAGACCCTGTCTCTTCTATAAATAGAAAGAAATTAATTGGCCAACTAATATATATAGAAAAAATTAGCCAGGCATGGTGGCGCATGCCTGTAGTCACAGCTACTTGGGAGGCTGAGGCAGGAGGATTGCTTGAGCCCAGGAGTTTGAGGTTGCTGTGAGCTAGGCTGACGCCATGGCACTTACTCTAGCCTGGGCAACAGTGAGACTCTGACTCAAAAAAAAAAAAAAAAAAAAATGTAGTCTGGGACCAGTAAAATTGTCATCACCTGGGAGCTTGTTAGAAATGCAAAATCTCAGGCCCCACAGACCTACAGTATCTGAATCTGCATTTTAACAAAATCATCCAGGAGGATCCACAGGACCTCTGATATTAAAATGAGAACTACGGCTGGCTCACGCCTGAAATCCCAGCACTTTGGGAGGCCGATGCAGGAAGATCGCTTGAGAACAGGAATTTGAGACCAGCCTGGGCAACATAGCAAGACTCCATCTCTACAAAAAATCTTTTTAAAAAATTTAGCCAGGCATGGTGGCACTCTCATATAGTCCTAGGTGCTCAGGAGGCTGAGGCAGGAGGACTGCTTGACCCCAGGAGTTAAAAGGGTTACACTGAGCTGTGACCAAACCACTGCACCCCAGCGTGGGTGACAGAGTAAGACCTCACCAAGAAAGCAAAGGAAGGAAAAGGCAGGGAAAGGCAAAGGGAAGAAAAGAAAAAAGAAAATGTCAACTATACATTTGTATATGGTACAGCTTAGAATTAATAATATGCTGGATATATAACTTTTTTTTCTTTCTTTGCCTTTTAGTAAAAATGGTAAGGACAAGTTCTAGTACTCAGAAGCATTTCTACACCTTAAGGTTAAGCATAAGGGAAACAAACACAAGTGGCAGGTACATTCTTTCTAAAGAATAATATACTGTATTTCCAAACATTCCAGAAGACTGAAACATTTTGAATGTAAAAAGCATCTGATACACATTAAAAATTGGTCTGCAATATAGAGAGATACGAGAGATAAAACAAACTATTCTTCCTAGTATTCTTGCTTCTGAAGTTCTACTACTACTATTTCTGTGTACATCAGCACCTTAACAATTGCACCTAAGAGCAACTGAGGACAGGTTCAATCCACATCCTCACACAATTCAATAATGTAAGCAATGGATATAGAATACTGTCAACAGATTAGTTTATAGACAAAATGATACTGAAACATAAGGGGTGTGGGGAATCAACAAATCTCTCAGAAGGTTAATATATGTTTCTGGAACACTACTGATGACATTTATTAATTACATAAAACAGCAGGAAACAATCTGAAGTTCCAAAAGACTCTCATACTTGTCTACCCAGCAGATCATCTTCAAAAAATCTAATTTTAGGATCCCAATACAAAAGGATAACAAAATCCATGCAGAAAAAAATCAATAGAGCATTGCTTCTTACACAATTTACAGATGTATAAATAAGATGGGCAAGGGAACGAGAGCCTGTGATAATACCTGAACTAATTATCACCTAACAAAAACAATAAAATAGGAATACTCAGTAAAATGTACCCAGAGGGCAGGTACCATGTGTGACCTGTGCCTCTTTGTACGCTACAGGCAGAGCTTAATAAATGTAAAGTGAGTCAAAATAAATTAAGAACTGCAGAGAACATCACTATTAAAGCATACAAAGTCTTACAGAACACAGCAGTATTTCTCAAGAGCAATGTAAATGACATGAAAGCAGCATGGAGGGTCATAGTAACTGAATATCCACATATCACTAAAATGGGACAGGTACCTCAATTTCAATATCAAATTGAATATCTACCAAATAAAAGTAGCTATAAAATATGTAAAAAATAATCTTGAGCTGCTGTGCTCAAGTAGTAACATAAAAACAAAACAAAGGCTAAAATGAAATAAAACTAAATAGGGTCCAGAAATGCTTTAGGACATTCCAATAATGTCCTTGATAAGAGTACCTTTTAGAATCAATTTAAGAATCCTATGAAGTTAATCTCTTTAGAAATCCTCACCAAATTATAAACCCATAAAAATTAACTGCTTTTCATAAAGTAACTTTTCTTCTAACTGTAAAACAGAAGGGAAAGATCTTATTGAAAGAAAAAGCGAGGCAGGGGGAGTGGAGGAAGGAAAAGAGGAAAGGAGGAGAAAAACCAAAGGGCAGAATACTCAGGGCAACGTGGAAAAGGGAATTCCAAATCTGGACTCTAACTTCTCCACAAGGTCCAGGAAGATAAAGCGTTAGAAGGTGTCAAATACTACCACAAAGGTCCACAACTTTTCAATTCCTCCCCTGAAATCTTGTGACTCACCTGGGAAAAGGTGTTGAAAGGGATGCCTACCTATGATCCATCAGGAGAGTGATAAAGTTTGTGGAATTCTAAGCCTTAGAGACTCTGGTTACTAAGCCAAATCATGCCCACATTCAATACTAGAAATGCTTAAGAACAGCATACAAACAGCCCTGGGAGGAAGAAAAGTCAGGGCCAAAGGCCTTAAACACACAGGAACATAGCAGAATCTATAAGCTAGCTCTAGACACTAACATTACACATGGGACTCTTTTCAGTAAAGTCTCTGCCTACATCAGGGAAAAAAAAAAGATATTTATTGCTTTGAATTTCAGTAGCTTATAATTTCATTTTTACCTAAACCAAGCAGTTCGAAGTTCTCTTAGAAAATTTGTAATGATCATCTTAAGTGCTACACTTTTTAATTTTAAAGAAACCGATAAATTTCATAAGGTTTACAGAATACAACTTATACCCCTTAACTAGATCTAAACTTATAAAGTACATTAGGTTTTGTGTCTATTTTAACTGTGTTACACTCACACCAAAACTTTTCCATTTCTATTTTTTTCAGACTTTTGTATGTTTTTACATCTTTGGGTGGGCACTTCAAGTAGTACCAAATTTAATAATAATATTTTTATAATGGGTACACCAACCAATTCTGAAAAGGGTTTAGGATAGCTTCTAATAAAAGATATACATACAACAAAATTATTAAAATGAAGATAAAAGAATAAAAGCCAAGCAATGAAAATGAGAAATTTAATATTTAAACAACAAACCAGTAATATCCCAAATCAGTCTCCCCTGAAAATTCCTTTTATTTCCTTGTGACTTACTAGTTTTACTCCATAGCTCTCTCTGGTATTTGACAGGTTCATTTCTACGTTTTTCAAATTCAAATGAATTATCCTGTAAGAGGAAACAGAGGGGGTAAAAATATGGTTTTAAGAAAGGAAACATTTCTTAAAACGTCCTCCTTTTCACAAGAGTTCCAAGTGAACATGGATTAACGTCTCCTCCCCGCCCCCCAGGATGATCTCAGAGAATACAGATTTTCAAAGTTTTTTTCCTTTATATACCTCCATGTATAAGACAGCCTACTGAAAACATCTCTCCATATACAGGTGATTCTCAAATGGAGAGGAGAGTATCATTCCCATCCCTCAGAGGGCAATATAACAATCATGGGGATTACAAAACAAACTGGAAAAGCTTCCTCAATTTCCCATCCCCAGATAAGACTCACAGCCAAAAAATTTTTTATTAGGTTGAACCATATGAAATTGCGATTTTTCACACATTAAAGCCAAGTATCAAGAATTTCATATGGCTCAAGCTAAATACCTATCTGCTACAACAAAAAGGCGGGAAATAATATGTAACTTCAAATAAATGTGGTGCTACCCTGAAGGATATAAGATTTGCTCTGCATTTCTTCAGGTCCCCTCCAAACACTGATTACCTCTCTCGTGGTGGGTATTTTGACAATCATTGATCCTATTAACCCAAAAACATGCAAAGCAATTTGGGAAAAGCTACAGATATCTCTTGGTTTTCAAACCTATCTGACATAGGCATATAGAATAGTATTAACTCTGTAATTAGCTATTTCTTTCATATACACACACCTTTGTTCAGACCACAATAACCTCAGAACAAGGTAACTAGTAATCAGCATATAACTGCGACTGGCATTCTTTCTGCACTCATGCAGCTGCCACTGGCATTTGGGGTGCTATGCTTCTTCTCACCCAGACTGAAAACTGTATGTCTGACAATTATTGTGATTTGGCCTTGCATCTTGTCAAATAATCTTTATTTCATTGAAAAGCTCTCGTTAAGGAAGCCACAGAAGGGCTTCATGGCAAATGCTTGTAGATACTGTCCTTTAGCAGTAGAGAGGTGGGAGAGAGGACATAGGTTTTGGGGGAAAGGGAGGCCATGGACAGAGGGGATAGATTAAAAGAGCTTTCCTCCCTCAAAAGTAGCCTGTGCTGAAGCATTCCTCTCCTCCCTTTACAGGGATCAAATACGGACAAGCTTCAATAGATCCTGTTATCAATTTAATAATAGCAATATGATGGTGAGGGCTCCCCCCATGAAATTCCCTCACCCCTTGACTTCCTTATTCCCCTTCACACCAACACTACTAACTAATCTCTCTGCTCTTAGACACAAAATTCTGCTAAAGAAATCTAGAAACTGATAAATGAGTCTATTACAAACCTCTTCTAAGTCCTCACTGCTGTCCTCATCTAATCTCTTAACTTCCTCTCAAAACCCTTGAGTAGAAATTTCTAACTTCACCCCAATCCATTTAAATGATTTTCCTCTTTGTTTGCAGGAGCTGAAAATAGTTTTCTGACAATAAAAAAAAATCACTTCTATAAAACTGAACTGAGAATTTTTTTCCCTTTTCAGAATTCTACAGAATTATGGTTTTCAAGATCATGTGAGAATGAAATTATTTCCATAGCCAAAAACAAATAAAGCATTTGCCAATCATATTACAGGAAGTTTTGTTATAATTAAATCACATACACCCTCCAAAAAATTAAAATTCTGAAACATGTAAAAACTATATTATCAGCTAACTATACTCACCACTGTAAGCTCTTTACCGGCTGCTTTCCGGAAGGCTTTAGTCCACCTGACCTTGCGAGGATTGCGCTTCTTTTTAAAGTTTTTATGACATTTGGATTTACAAAATCTGAACACCTACAAGAAAAGTAAGTTAAAAATATTGAAAAGTCAACATTAGAAATTGTTCTAGCATTTTATCAACCTGCTAGACAAAAAATACTATAAAGCCTGAGAAATGACAATGGTTCTCACTCACAATTCCTTCTACTTACTCACAACACCATTTAGAAATGTGTAAGACATTAGATTAAAAGGAAACTGAATTCTTTTTTGACCAGCAAATGTCATCCCAACTAAAGGCTCAGGGTCCTGAAAAAAATGGTTAAAAACTACTAATGATTTTTATAGAATAACAGTAAAACCTTACAATCATCTTGAATAAAAAGAATAATTTAAAGTTATTTTAAGTCCCTTCTCAATTCAGGATAATTTTCAAAATTCACTTTCTATATACCACAATGGGATAAAAGTTTCAAACAATCATTCTGAAATTTCCTTTTAGTCTTTTTTCTTGTTAAAGCACAATATACTTTTAAAAGCAATTAAAAATGACAACAGATTTGTTTTCTAAATTCACAGATATAGTAAGATTCTTTATTACTTTAATTCTCCACCTTTATCCCAAAAGATTTAAGCCTTCAGTGCTAACTTACAACTTAATAATGCTTCACTGTGTTCCTGAAATGGCTTACTGGGACTCATTTTATAAATCTAAAATGCATTATTTTGTTACTCTGTAATATCTTAGAACACACTGTAATTTGTTTATGTTACTGGAGGAAATGTGAAGAGAAAAAGTAATTCTTTCAGGTTTATGAATCTTGGCAAAGAAAATTAAGTGTAATTATCTTACCTAGAAGGTGTGACCCGTAATAAAATAGATCAAAATAAACAGTATAAACATTTCAAACCAAGGAAAGTTGTATATATATTATATATCATAATACTTTTTACCATATATGTACGTTGTTCTATGGGGAACTTCAAGCAGGTCACTACACACAGGACAGTTCCCTTAGAAACTGACAATATCAGTTTAATCTGATGTAGATCCATGCCTCCAGGATAGCCTTCTCCTAAGAGACTGGAGTGAAAGCATGTCTATAACCCTGAGTTAATTTCAAATAGACTAGGAAAATATGAGAACTACTATAGCCTCCTAGAGAGTAACCTACTATGAAATCTTTATTGGTAAATTTCATCTGAGTATTTTCAGCCCAAAATACTGCTAACCTCTTTAAGTAAAAGTTTCCTAAATTTCATACCCACTAGATAACCCTAAGCAAATCTCCATTTCTGAGATCTAATGAGAGCACTGAACTTGTTCTGGATCTTCTCAATTCCAAACAGAGACAATGACAAGTCTAATTGGTTATTATCTGAAAAGCACAAAGAAGAATCTGAAGAGACTGGTGTCACTGGAGGTGTGAAGGACATTCAATCAGCAAATAAGGAGTATCTACTATGTGCCTGATTAGGTGCTAGGAATATAAGAATTAATCAAAACATGGTTCCCTGTCTTGGAAAGCTTAGTCTAGCAACGTGGTAAGTCTCACTTTGGGAACCAAAAAAAGATCAACATCAGACTAGGATATCAACAATGGGATAAAGCTATAATCATGTAAAAGTAATTTGTAAACACTTATGAAGAAGTGGCTAAAACTACAGAGGGGTAGGTGGTGGATGGATTATGTGTAAGGCAAAGCTTCTGAGGCTCAAGTTTCCCTTTTAATCTAGTCAGTCTTCAACATGCAAACAAATGACCCATCATCATACCCTGGCCTCAAAGTTGTTCAGACTTTTCTTATTCCACTAATTCAATAAACATTTATTAAGGCCTCATTAAAATTGTAGATATTCTCCCTGTTTGCAAAGTATGTGAAAATATGGAGCATTAGCACTAATTCTACCTTTAAGAAACCATATAAGAAGAGTAAAGAGGTGAGATTGCTATGAAAGACAGTCTTAAAAGCTAAGAGAATAAAGATAGAAAGACTAGGTAAGAGACTATAAAAGTGGCAAGTGCCTAATGTGATCCAGGACAGGAGGACAGAAGGAAGGCAAAGATACCACCATCCTTGCAGAAGCAGAATGGATAGGACTTGTTAATTGGATACAAAAGGTGAAAGATTCAAATATAACTCTCAAGTTTCTAGTAAACTATCTAGGCACAATGGTATTAATTCAGAGAGCAAAAAGATATGATGTATAATAATAAGGAATTCTCTTTCATTAGGCTCACTGTTAGGTACAAGCAGGATTTCCCCATCCAATGGAAAACTCAGATCAGGAGCTGAGGAGATACAGATTTGGCAGAAAAGATGAGACACTTGTTCTTTGTTAGTGTTTCAGGACCCCTACTTCTTCCTATTTCCCCCATCATTCTGTTCTGGATCCGCTGGTCTTCCTCAGGCCAAGCTGATTTCCAACTAACATAACACTGTCCTTGTTAAATTTCCTCATCAAATTGAACTTCCACTGTGTCTACAAAAACAATACCCAGGTCTCGATAGCTCCCACAATCTGTTCTAATTCCAATACTCAGCTGGGCAAAATCATAAAATCATGATGATCAGATCATTTACAAAATCACACTGCCCACTGTGAATTAGACCCCAACCTGGCAACCTTTTTGTTCATTTTTATAAATTTCCTATCATGTTCCTTAAAGCAAGTATTCAACATCTCCTACATGCTCTTTTAAGTTTTCAAACATAGTTCTGAACCCTTTCAACTGGATATCTTGTTCCTAATTTAATTAGGTCAATACCTTTGGTCTATTACAGAAATACAAGGTGATGAAGTCAGACATGTTATTCTTTAGCATGTCAAAAATCACCTTGTTAGATGTACAGATTATTAGATCTTCCACTCAAAGATCCAACTCAATAGATCTGATGGAAATCAGGAGTATGAATTTTTGACAAATGCCCATTAATTCAGAAGCAAATGTGAGAGAGATCAAATTCTGAGAAACAATGTGTTTCTCTGAGAAACAGAGGAATGGGATTCATTCTGATATGAGAAAGCAAATTAATACACCATTCAAAAACTCTTTCACAACTTTGGCCTCATATCTATTAGTTACATTTGTAGGTTTATTATATTTGTATCTGTAGCCCTACCCCAAGCCTCTATCATTTACAATCCAGTCACTTCCTCAAACAGATGTAATTGCTCTGTTCTGTGCCTGTGGTCACAATGTCCTTTGCTTGCACCCAGAATGCCCTCTCCTCTCTTTCTCCCGCGAAATTCAAGATCCAGGATAAATGTCCCCTTTATTCTGAGTCTTTGCAGCCTCCCTAACTCACCTTAACTAACTCACTAAGTTACCCAATGGTGACTTAATACATAACCCTACTATTAGAACATAACGCAACACTTCTAAGCAACCTCTACACCTTGGTCTGGACTGGGAATACGTTCAACAAAATACACTGGAATCGAGAACTTGGCCCATGTATAAGAGTAGCCAAACAGCCCCCACAGACCCCCCGATTCCTGGTGGGCGCTGGCTGGGACTGCTCCTGAATCTCATCACAGCCAATCCTAACGGTGTCCCGGTGGCCAGCTCCGCTACGGACGCAGGCAGGAAAAACTCCCAAAGTAAGAGACTGATGCCGGAGTACCCCGCCGAGCCACCCTCCCACGAGAGCAGCGCGGGGATCCCGGGCCAACTCCGGCAGGCGCAGAAGAACCCGGCGCCCAACAGGCGCGCCCAGGGCCCGCGGGAGCGCTGCTGGGGCGCACACTGGCCTCGGCCGCCTCACCTTGCAATCGTTGCGGACGAACATCATGCCGTGGCCAGGGTAGATTGGCCCCGAACAGAAATAACACTTCTCGATACGCATGTTGAACCCGCGTGGGGCCCCACCGACCAAACGCCAAGCTTGGGAGGAAGTGACGTCACACGACGAACGGAAGTGATTCTCTCCCCCCCCTCCCCGACCCGGAAAAGGCGAGCGTCCTCGGCTCCCGCGGGTCCGTAAGACGCAATCCGTACGTGACGGTGCCTCCTAGAGGTGCGGCTGATAAACGCGCTGCTGTTTGGCGCAGGCGCAGAGCCTCAGACGAGGCCTTTTGGTTCTTATTCTGGGAAATAATTTCTCTCAGCTCCTCTCTATACGCTGATATTTACCCATGTTTTATATATCTTATGTTTGGTTTGTGCTTTGCCCCGGGGGCTCTCCACATTATTGGCCTGTCTCTAAGAGCTCATTTTTCCACTGCCTGCCCCAGATCAGCCCCGGATTCCGCTCCCACGCGGACTAGCCGGGCGTAAGCAGCGAGAACCTGCAGTCCCACTTTGCTTTGAACATTGCAGTGAGAACAGTTGAGCCGCTAAGGCTCTGCGGACTTTATCAGTGTTTTTTTTTTTTTTTTAATCCTGTAGTCCCAGCACTTTGGGAGGTCAAGACGGGAAGATCGCTTGAGACCCTAGTTTGAGACCAGCCTGGGCAATATAATGATACCCTTTCTGTACAAAAAATAGAAAAATTAGCCGGGTGTGGCGGCTTTAGTCCCAGTTACCTGGGAGGCTGAGGCAGGAGGCTCATTAAGCCCAGGGGTTTGAGGCTGCTGTGAGCTACTGTTGGGCCACTGCCCTCTAGCTCTGGCAGGAGTGAGATGAGATCTTGTCTCTTAAAAAATAGACACACACAAACACACACACACAAATTGGTGTTCTCCACCTTTTTCCTTTCTCCCCATTTCAATTAATATACATATTTGGTAAACAAACATTTTCACAGGAAACTAAAGTTCCCTCCCCAATCCTTCAGTCTTCCTCCTCAGTGGCAAACTTGTTATTACCTATCAGAGATTTTCTGTGCTTAGACAGACATGTATTTGTGCGTGTGCCTGTCTCTACTGCCTCTTATTTTTTATAACACTAATGAACATGCCATTAACCCTTTTCTGCATCTTGCTGTGTCTCCACCGGAATGTGAGCTCCGTAGGGGCAGGGATTTTAGTTTGTTTTGTTTACAGCTATATCCCCAGCATCTAGAATAGTTCTTGGCACATAGTAGACATTAAATACATATTTTATTATGGTTACTTAACATTCTTTTTTCATAGTTATATGTATGCCATTGTATAACATTCCTATCTTTGGCATAATAAGCATTCATACTGATGCCTTTTTTTAAAAAAAGAGTTTATATATAACTGGGCAGAAGATATAATTTTAAATTTTGGTAGATAATACTAAATAGTCTTCCAAAAGTTTTTTTAGCAATTAGCACTCAACAACCAATAAGATGCCTATTTCACAACACTCCTGTTAAAAGTGATCTTTGTCAACCTGAGGTGAAAATATATTTCATAATTATTTCATCTTTCATTTATGTAATTATGAACGAGATTAAGAATGATCTTTTACAATGTTAGAAGTCTATTTTTTTTCTGCGAATTGCCTATTAATGTCCTTACAGAGTTTTCTCTTGTGTTGTTGATTTTTTTTTTATTTCGGCATATTATGGGGGTACAGATTTTAAGGTTTCAATAAATGCCCATTTCTCCCCCTCCCCTCAAAAGTCTGAGTCTCCATCATGACCATCCCCCAGATGGTGCACATCTCACTCATTATGTGTGTTGTTGATTTTTAACAGCACTTTACATGTTAAGGTTAGCTCTTTACTGACATGCATTTGGAAATTATTTCCCAATTTATCAATATACCAATTGCTTATGGTATTATGGTTTTATTTGTATATATTCAGATTTATACAGTCTTTTATGGTTTGGGGTTTTTGTATTTTCCTTTGAACTGCATTTCCCACTCCAAAACTGTTTTTCAAATATTTTTCTCTTACATTTTGTAGTGTCACTTTCCACATTTGAATTTTCAACTGATATGGAATTATAAATGATATAGGATTCCAGTGTTTTCCCCCAATACCATATATGTTGTGTAAGACATCCTTTTCCCAATTGATTCAAAATGTCACTTCTCTATGGATCTGTCTCTGGACTCTGCTTTGTTCCATTGTTTTACCTACTTATGTGCCAGTTCCCAAATGTGTAAATTGTTGTAGTTTCTTAAATAACTAGGTTTACCTCCTCTTCCTTCCTTCCTTGTCCTTCTTCTTATTTCTCTGGCTGTTCTTTACTTTTTCATTTTAACTTTAGAATTAGTTTGTCTAGTTATAATCTTCAAATATATTTTTTCCTTTTATCTGATACTTACATTTTTGTCTAGTCATTTGGCCAGTAAGTACAGAATAATGTTAAATAACAAAGGCACATACCAGAAATTTTAGTAATAAACATCTTCCCAACACTTTATTATCCAAGAGACTGAAAATTATTTCATTAACACTATTCTTTAATCTCCCTCTCCTACCCTCTTCAACAATAATGGAAGTGCCTCTTTAGTTTTCCCAACTCTCAGTGCTTCACTTTAGATCAAATGGTTGAGCAACCAGCCTTAGAAAATTTTCTTTCCACCTATCTTAATGGAATACAAGTGGAAGAGGAGAAAAACATGTATTCCACATCCAAAAAAAATTGAACTGAAATGTTGCAAATACTATTTCTTCTCATTTATCTTGCTTGGGACTTAATGATTTCTGAATCTGAGGATATGTTTTTTGTCATTACTAGAAAATTCTTGGCTATTATCTTTTCCTGTAGTGCCTCTGCCTCCAATTTCTTTCTAGAATTCCTACTAGATATGTTGGAGCTTTCTTCTTTCCTCTATATCTCTTTACCTCTCTAATACTTTCTCTCTCCCTGAATTCTGTATAACTTCCTCCAACCTATCTTCTGGTTAGCCAGTTTTCTCTTCAACTCTGTCAAACCTGCCATTAAACCTCTAACCATTAAGTTTGGAATATCAAAGGCTATGTTTTTCATTGTGGGAACTTTTTATAAAATTCAAAACAGTCTGGTATCTTTAAAATTGTCTTCTTTTCCCCGATTTTTCAATTCTTTTAATTTTTACAATTATTTTAAACATTTTTACTTGATGGTCTCCATCTGGTAAGTCTATTATTTGAAGTTCTTAAATGCCACATCTTGCTGTTTGTTTGGTCTGCTGGCCCTCGTTCATGATTGGGAGTGAGAGGAAGAAAGTGTAAGCTTATCCAAAGTAGGGTGTTTTCTGTAGGAATCCAGATGTTCCTCTGAAAAGATTTTTGCTTTGCTTTTTTGTGTGTATTTTTTTTTTTTACTTTCAGAGTATTATAGGGATATAAACGTTTTGGTTAAATTGCTTTTGTACGGTTTGAGTCAAAGTTATAAGTGTGTCCATCCCTCAAATAGTGTGCACTGTACCCATTAGCTGTGAATTTACCCATCCTCTCCTCCCCCCTCCCACCTGCTTGATTTCCAATGAATGTTATTTCCATATGTGCACATAAGTGTTGATTGATTAGTTCCAATTTAATGGTGAGTAGATGTGTTTGTTTTCCCATTCTTGTGATGCTTCACTTAGAAGAATGGTCTCCAGTTCCCTCCAGAATAATACAAGAAGTATTAGTTCACCTTTTCTTTTTTTATGGCTAAGTAGTAAACTCAAGTATCTTGACTACCAATATTGTAAAAACCAAGCCAAAAGAAAACTAAACTCAGCATCAGGTTGTTGTAAGTTCCCTCTGTTATTGTCTGGTTTTAGGGGGAGGGGGTGGTATTTCCCTTATTTTCTTGAGAAACCAACAATACATTTCTAAAAATATGTTCATCATATTTTATCCAGCATTATCTAAGTACTTTATAATGGGAGAGTTTTCCAGTTAGATAGTCGCCCATATTGCCAAAAACAGAAAACCTGGAAAATACTTCTATAGAGATTTCCAGTTTATAAAAATGCCAACTAAACCATTCCTTATTGAACACCTCTTAAATAGATCAAATTTACTACTCTTGTCTTTCAACATTAGTAGTTACTTCTATTTTGAAAACTCTTTCACCTGACCCTGCTACCTCTTAAGTCCTTTATTCAGCCAACAAACATGTGGGTACCTACTGTGTACCAGGTCCTTTTCTGGGTGATGGTGACAATTTTAAAGAGTAGATTGTAGACAAACATAGCAAGTGAATCCCTTCTCAGCCTTTTGGCTAAGATCAAGTGTAAATATTAATACATCAAGTGGTGATGAGTGATATGGAGAAGAGCAAAGCAGAATGTCAGTGAGTGACAGTCTGATTGGGGCCATGCAGGGGACTGACTTCTGTTTTACACAAGGTTGTCAGTAAAGTCTTTTCAGATAAGGTGACATTTGAATAGTCAGGCTAGGAGAAAGAGCCATATAGAGGATGCTAGTCCTCCAGTCTATAAGGAGGACTAGCATCCAGACCAGAGGGAACCACAAATGCAAAAGACCTGAAGCAGGAACACATTTGACTGCTCCAAGGTGGCCAGTGTGCCTGAAAAGAATGAGTGAGGTGGACAGTGGCAGGAAATTAGAAAAGGGAAGCCATCTTTACACACACATTCCCTCCTCATCCCATCAATGCCTATTACCTGAAACCCATCCCAATGTCTCATGCACTGTCTCTCAGCTCATCCTAGTTCAGGCCTTAAGCACCCTTGTTTTGCTTATCTGAGATTACCTACTACAACACTTCCCAAATACAGGTGCTCAATAAATGTTTGATGATAACATTCTGACTTACAATTTTTCAAGAATATGTTGTCCTGGCTGTCCCTCTCAATGAGCACCTAATGGAACACATATCCCTGAATTTTGTTTCCTTTGGCATTACAACCTCCTGTTTGAAACTTGTGATGGGAAATGAAGTTATGTTCACACACAAACTTGACAGACTATATCACTTTTTTTTATTTGCTTAATTGGTACACGGTTCACTGAAGATACACTTCACTTTTACACAGGCTTGTAAATATAAAAATACATTGACACACAAAAAATATGGTACTTCAATATCAAATTTAAACAAATGATTTCCAAAAAGAATACTGGTTATTGATTTCAATAATTAAAGGTGGTTTTTATGTGTATACTATAATATGTATGTACATTGAACTATATATTTAAGGCCAAGGGAATCTGTAGTTAATTACTCATTTGGTTCTTGAAAACTGAATCATACATTTTCTTATTTTTAATTACACCAATAGACCATATAAAATATGCCCTGATGCATAGCTATAAAATCATGATATACGCCACTGATGTCTCATGGCAACTTGAGAAGGCACCACTGTGTGATTAAGACTTTGCCCTTGAAACATCTGAATCTTTCCCTCACTAGAATGCACAATTCAAAGGCCTAGGCCTCCAGGACGTCTTTGGAATTTAAAAGCAGCCTTCATTTCCAGGATAGAAATACTGACCGTAGCTAAGTTTGTTATGGGAGTGGGAGAAGGACAGTGGCAAAAAACATGATAGGTGCTCAATAAAAAGGCATTTGAAAATTGTACAAAAGTAACTCTTTTTCATAATACTTGTTTTTCTCTAATCACTGTTCTGCCAAACATTTGCCACCACAAAATACATTTATTTTTATTCTTTATCTACATTATTATGAGCGATATTTCTTTCTATGTAGCCATTAAGCTCTCTGGAAATTTTAATTTACTTTATTTAAAGCACTTTAACAAGTAAGAATTTTCCCTTAAATGAAGACCTTTGAATGTTATAAACAATTTCCATGAATCGTATTTTAAAACCGCCTTTAATTTGGTATGAAGACACTTTGGCAATGTAGCAGAATACATGGCTTTGGCAAGTCCCAGCAAGTATGGTAAATGCCCCGTGATCTCAGTGAAAAATACAGGCTATAGAATACTTCATTTTTCTTATGTTCAGCTAGAGTACAAATGTGACTGCTTAAATACAAACATCTATCTTCCACCAAATAGCAAACAGACATTTTATATAATTAAGAACAAATTCCTTTAATTCAACCAGTGGAAAAGTAAAACAAGTTGCAAATATCAAAGATACAGAGCCTGATGGTGAGAACAGAAATGAGCAGTTTGCAAGCTAATTGAAACTGCAGGCTGAGGATGCCAGATCAACGTTATAAATATGAAGAAAAAGAACCTAAATATTTACTCCACAAATAACTTCAGCACAAGCACCAGCGGTGTTCAGATGTGGCCAGCACCCAGGCCAACTATAAACAGATCATAGTGACCTGGAGCTATAAAACTGAGTTCTCTCACCCTTCAATCAACCATTCAGAGCAATAGGAATATAGTGAGGTGCCACAAGTCCCACTTCAGTTGCTCATATTGCATTAAGCCACCCCTCTCCCCACCCCTAATCCCTCTCCCACCAACAAAAAAGTCACGGGGAGTGTACTGTTGGTCGATCCAATTTATCTAGGGTCTATGGATATGGCCATAATTTGTCCTATATTCACATTAAAGACAATGCTTACATAAAATTAACACTCAATGACATTGAACTGATGTGTGTGCGTATTCTTATTTAACATTCAAATGATTTAGGTAGCATTTTAGAAGGTCACCTATGGCATGAGTTTTTAAATTAGGATTCAAAACTGTGATAGTTTTACAATTGCATCTCAAATGTGAGACTCTGTGCCTATATACATTGAGGCAGGGACAGTATGCTCCATCACTCTATGTCATGAATATACTCTTCTGCGGCTGCAAAATCCTGAATCCCAGAGTGATCTACTGTCATGGGCTATGGTTGTATAAGGCACTTTTGGCTCTGTGAAATATTTCTCCTAACTCTCAGGCTGAACCCTAAAGAAGTATTTACAAAGTGCAAGAAATTAATCTTAAAACTGGATGCTTTATTGATAGGCCTAACGGAGATGGTGAGAAGCAGTTTGTGTACAATGCCCATTCATCTCTCACTGTACCAGGAATCAATCATAGAGAAGATCACAGGGCATGGGCCACTTGAATGACTATGTCGCTTACTTGACTTTTCAACAGCCACATGCCCCCTTATCCTTGACTTCATTTAACTGATCTGTAGAGGTGTGACCATTGGACCGCACCACTCCTTCAGGAATCCAGGACTTGTCCACACACCGTTCCATTCGCTTCATGATCAGGTCCAGAAGCATCTCGATTGCTTGGCTTATATTTGTCCCATTGGCAGCACTAGTTTCAAAGTAGGGAATTCTGGAAGACAGATAAAACTTAGGTAACAATACATGGAGGGAGAGGACAGAGACCTTTGCCCTTGATGATTCAAATTAAAGAATAAATACAGTACAAATACACAAAATGACAAAAACATTTTACCACCTAAGGGTTCATTAAAAAGGAAAAAGAATACAATAAAATAAAAATAATTCACACTGTATTCCTAATGGAGATACAAAACTGGGAATTTTAGACAATTGATCTTCAAAAGATCAATTTTTATTATTTTTAAGGGAGCATATTTATGCCATATATATTTTAGTAACATTTATAGAGTTAAAACTTTAAGAATTTAAAACTTTATTCACGGTATAAAAAACTGTTTAAATTCCTCTATGTGAAAAGACTTGAAAACTTTTTTTTTTTTTTGGCATATTATGGGGGTACAGATTTTAAGGTTTCAATAAATGCCCTTTCCCCCCTCCCCCCACAAGTCTGAGTTTCCAGCATGACCATCCCTCAGATGGTGCACATGTCAAGACTTTAAAACTTTTAGAAGAAAATATAAGAGATTATCTTTTTTTTTTTTTTTTTGAGACAGAGTCTCACTTTGTTGCCCAGGCTAAAGTGAGTGCCGTGGCATCAGCCTAGCTCACAGCAACCTCAAACTCCTGGGCTCAAGCAATCCTGCTGCCTTAGCCTCCTGAGTAGCTGGGACTACAGGCATGCACCACCATGCCTGGCTAACTTTTTCTATATATATTATTTTGCCAATTAATTTGTTTCTATTTATAGTAGAGACGGGGGTCTCGCTCTTGCTCAGGCTGGTTTTGAACTCCTGACCTCAAGCTATCCGCTCGCCTCAGCCTCCCAGAGTGCTAGGATTACAGGCGTGAGCCACCACTAGAGATTATCTTTTTGACATTGTGATAAAAAAAGGCTTTTTTTTTAATGGTGATTTTTAATGTCTTTTTTAATTTTTTTTATTTCAGCATATTACAAGGGTACAAATGTTTAGGTTATGTATATTGCCTCTGCCCCACCTGAGTCAGAGCTTTGAGCATGCCCATCCCCCAGACAGTGTGCACCACACCCATTAGGTGTGAAAATACCCATCCCCTCCTCCCCCTCCCATTTGCCTGACACCCAATGAATGTTATTACCATATGTGCACTTAAGTGTAGATCAGTTAATACCGATTTGATGATGAGTACATGTGGTGCTTGTTTTTCCATTCTTGTGATAAAGAAGGCTTTCTAAATATAGATCCAGAAACTCAAACCACAGAGAGAAAAAGTTTGATAATCTTGATAATATTAAAATGTAAAACTTTGGTGCCACAGCATATATCATAAGCAAAGTCAAAAAACTGAGCCATATTATTAACTGAGCAGCACCTAAGTGGACACAGAGGTACTACAGTAATAGGGTATTGGGCACGTGGGAGGGGGGTGGGAGGGTATACACATACATAATGAGTGAGATGTGCACCATCTGGTGGATGGTCATGCTGGAAACTCAGACTTGTGGGGGGAGGGGGGAAAGGGCATTTATTGAAACCTTAAAATCTGTACCCCCATAATATGCCAAAATAAAAAATAAATAAATAAAATGAGCCATAGACCAAAACAGATGGTATTTCATATAACTGAAAAGAGGGTTAGCAATGAAAAAAATACAAATAATCCTTCAAATTAATTAAGGTAACAAATAAGATAATACAAAAATTGAGAAAGGAGATGCACAGGAAATTCTCAGAAATGATATTTATGGGCCAGGCATGGTGGCTCACGCCTGTAATCCTAGCACTCTGGGAGGCCAAGGCAGGAGGATTGCTCGAAGACAGTAGTTCAAGACCAGCCTAAGCAAGAGCAAGACCCCATCTCTACTAAAAATAGAAAGAAATTAGCTGGACAACTAAAAATATATAGAAAAAATTAGTTGGTCATGGTGGCACATGCCTGTAGTCCCAGCTACTTGGGAGGCTGAGGTAGGATTGCTTGAGCCCAGGAGTTTGAGGTTGCTGTGAGCTAGGCTGACGCCACAGCACTCCAGCCTGGGCAACAAAGCGAGACAGTCTCCAAAAAAAAAAAAAAAGAAAGAAAGAAAGAAATGACATTTATGAAAAAATGTTCAACCTCACCAAACATAAGGGAAATGCAAACTAGAATAATGGCGTATAATTCAAACCCACATTGACAAAAATATAAAAATCTCCCAATACCAAGTATTTCCAAGGAGTGGGAAAAGAGGACTTTGTATTTACTGCTGGCATAAGTATAAGCTGTTATAACTACTTTGGGAAATAATGTGGTTGGCAATAACTGGTAAAGTTGAAAATGTGCATGCATTATGCCTCAATAACACCACTTGCAGGTATACAGTCTAAAATAGAGCCAAGGTATGCTGATGTGCAGTGAGTTACAGGTATACCTGAGATGACATTGATCCTTCAGCCTTTGGGGCAACTGAAAAGGGCCTGCAGCAGCCAGAGTCCCTGAACCCATCTCCTCCCACCTTGAGCAACCTTATCCATTTATCCCAGTGAGCTGTACACATAATTTTGTAAGGCTTTTTTGGTTGTTGTTTTCTTGTGTGTGTGTTTGTTCTTTTTGTTTGTTTTTTGAAATAGGGTCTCACTATATTGCCCAGGCTGATCTCAAACTCCTGGACTCAAGCAATCCTCCTGCCTCAGCCTCCCAAGTAGCTGGGATTACAAGTGTGTGCCACCATACCCACTGTACAAATATTATCATTTTCTGTGCATGCTTTTAGAGGTCTTTTCAGAACTGTTCCACCTCTAATCTCACTAAGAAGCACACTTAGGGGATACATATGTAGGGACATAAGGCTATTTCTCCATTGTGATTCTTCGTGATGCTGTCTTATTATATGCACACTTCTTCGAGAAGCTGACAGGCCTTGCAGCTGAACCTCTGCAATTCTCTCTTGTTCTAACATAGCTATTATTAATAGAAACTGGTTGGGGGATTGTCATCTCATTTGAGCACTTATCTACCCGCCTGTGAGTTCTGCAAGACACAGTTGCTCCACTGAATCAACCATGCCCATGTTCTATTACTCTTTCATTGATGACTCTAAAGTACCTTAATCAAAGAAGGGATTGTTGGGAAAACTACCTGGTCTTAGCAGTTTTTAAGCCTCCTGTCTGTCTCTTTAGTTACTGTCAATCTTTTTTCTTCCATCTCCATCTCTCACCTTGCCCATAAAACGAAGATAATATATTTTTATCACCCCAGTCACATATGATATTTGATTAAAAACTGCAAAGAGGGCATTTTTTATGATTGAATTCAATAAACATTTATTTATTGAGTACCTATGATATTATTGAACCAAATCCTAGGGACAGTTTGTGATTCTGCCATTGCTATAGAAATGGAATTTTAGATTGCGAATTCTCAAAATACTTAAATTTTCTTCATCATGATCTTTCTCAATTACCCCCATGAAAAAAAAATCAGCTAATGTCTGACAGAACATTTCTTACACTTAGGAGAGAGCTTGAGAATTCTATCACCATTCATAAATATATTATTACATGGAAAAGCAACTGAAAAGTTCACGCCCCCAAGAATAAATTGGAAATACAAACAAAAAATAGTTAAGCATTAAACTTGCTTTAATTACTAAGTCACAATAATGTATGCCTCATTTTTTAAATTCTCTCAAAATCAATTATAAATATCTTTCCAACTTGAGACTTCAAACCCATTCAATTTCTCAACTCGGTCTCCAATTAGCTATTTCTACTTTCCACAGTTACTTCCCCCTCGGCTCCTGCAAATTACTCCACAGATATTTTTGAGGCATAAATAAGAAAACAGCTGAAAGCACTTTGAAAATTGTAAAAGTTATGCATGGAAATTACAGACAGTATGGAACAACGGTGAGAGCCATAACCTGTGGAGTTAAGCTGCCTGGATTCAAATCCTAGCACTACATCTCATCCACTGTGTAACCCTGGCAAACTATTAACCTCAGTGCCTCAGTTGCTTCATCTACAAACGCCAAGGAATATCAGTTTCTTCTTGTAAGAACTAAATGAGTTGATGTTTAAAGCACTTAGGTCAGAACCTGACACATAGTAAACATTTGATAAGTGTTTCTCATTCCCAACACAGAAATGGGTTAGGCCACAAAAGTTTCATTGTAATTTTATTTTTTAAATCTCAGAACATATCATCCCAGGGAATTAATGTCACCGGCAACATTGTAGACATTAAATTCCCAAACTAGCCCACAAAGTTTGGTTTAATCAACAATGTAGCTGGTCTGTCAAGTCTACAGTACTGCCCTAATTCTGGTACCTGGGACCATGCTTCCCACATCATGGATGGCTCGCTCAGCCTGCCCTAGCCAAAGTGCTTCATGCTCCGAAGCATCTGCCTCCTTCAGTCCTCATCAAACCCTTCACTCCTCAAGTCATCTTCACTAAACACTAGAGAAAAAAATGGATCTTACTTTACTGATTAATGCCAAGGGATAAATGACAAATGCTTCTAGTTCAATGGTTATTAGCTTAAGCAAAATTAACTGGTAGAATTTCAAGGTATAGGAGTTAAGCTATAAATTCTTAAGTCACTCATATTAAAAGATATGCAATATTAACAAGATAGAGCTTAGAACTATAACTCCGAAGTCAAGTAATAAACTTATTTTAATGAAAAATATATTTTCCTGCCATTTGTAAACCTCTAGGTCATGCAACCAGGAGTCAGGTAAACAATTTTAAAATCTTTAATCATTCAGAGTTTTCTGAGCAAGTGGGGCAATAAAGTTTTCATTTCTACATGAATAAATGAATGCTAGAGATCACTGCATTCAATTCGTTGAGTTGCCAGAGGAAAAGACAACTATATGAGATCCACAGAGAAGACTCTGAATTAAGACTTTCCTTCTTAAGGAAATGATATCCCAGAGACAGAAATGTGCATTGTTCTTACATTTGAAAGTGGGACTGTGCAGCTTGCCCTAAGGGCATTGGAAGTCTACTTCCAATCAGAAATATTTTT